CTCATTATGAGCAGAGTTACTTAACCAATCTATTATGGCTAGACTTGATTTGAGAGATGGCCTTACAACTTAGCCCTTTTGTTGTGCTAACAGGAATCCTGGGTCAAACAGAGGTTAGTGATTTTGCAGAAGTGATACAGAAATTTGGTGGCAAACTGGAGCCTGTAATTTGTGACTTGTGTTCCTAGTACCCTGTTATGCTACTTTTCCTTTTATAAAAGTCAGTGGTGAGGATCAAATGACATAAAATGTCAGTATGACTTGGTAGGCACAGAATATCAGGAGGTAAATTATTTCCACTTGCTTTGTATTGTCGGGAGGCATACATTAACCTTTGCATTGTCATTTAAGCATTTTGGCAACGGGTCATTTTTTACGTCTTTGTGTGCCCCTGTGCTTAAGGCCATACCAGTAAAGGTAGTTATATAGTCACACTCATATATCGTTACTTTTCGAAACCAAAATTTTTTCCTTTATTTGTGTAGGGTATATATGGATAAACTCTCTAGTAATAAAAACTGTATACTTTAATTTCAGACCAGGGATTTGTTATATTATATACAAGTAGTTTTCTGACTGATTTATTGGGAGACATATTAAACTGATTAATATTTAGATAAAAGAAAGCACTCATTTATGATTTCAGTATGTTATTTCTTATGACTTTTAGCTTAAGGCGTTTGCCAGCTGACAAATGTTAAGGTTCGATAGAGAGTTGAGATTTGCCTAGGATCAAGCCGCACTCTTATGCTTATTAGTTGTGTGCCCTTCGGCAGTTTTTGAAAATATCTATGTGTCTTAGCTTTTCTGTTGTAAAGCTACTAATAATAATAGTGATTAAGCACAAATTGACTGTTGGACCATGGACTCATTTAGTCCCCACAACAGCTACATGAGATAAGGGAGGACGTGAAGGCATGTGATGGTTACACGGTTAATAAATAAATAGCAAAGGTGAGATGTGCACTATGTTCTGTTAACTCCAGAGTTCATACTTTTTGAGCACTATGCTGTACGCACTACCGTCTTAATTTCTTCCTGAGTTCTGAGAGGTTAATGAGAATAGGGTATGTAGAAAATGCTGGGTATAGTTTTTAGTGTTCACAGCTTTTGGGGTTACAGAATTTTGAATCAAATTTAGTGCACCTAGAAGTTAACATTGGGGGAATTTTAAATATGTAGTTTTCCTTCGTTCTAAACTGTACTGGTAGCTTGTTAGAATGAAAGAATCATAGACCCCACCCCAGACATCCTGGAACAAAATCTGCATTTTCATAACCTGCATTCAAGAACCTTAATGTTTGAGAACTATTGTTGCCTTAGATGATCTTGAAGGTTTCTTCCAATTCACTAATAGTTGGTGAGCCAGCGATTCTACAGCATCAGTCATTGTGGATATTTCAGTGTTCATTATTAAATTTAGGGAAGAAAATGATAATGTATCAAGGATTGCTTTAATGTAAATCACTGTAACTTACATTTCTTTTTTTTCTTTTTTTTTATATTGGCTTTCATTTTAAGTCACCTCTTGAAGTAATACCTGTTTGCATTTGGAAAAGGTTTCTGTCACAGTACCAAATTTTCCTAAATTTTATCATCCTGTATTATCTGAGGAAATAATTAGAACTCAAGATTTTTAAATGGTATTTGGGCAAATGTTTTATTTAATCTCATGAGATGAGATTGTAATATCAGACAATAATGTATATGGGAACACTAAAAATAACATAAAATTTTTGTATTTTTGAACATTTCACTATTCTGGTGTTTCAGTGAACAGATTACCTAGAAAGCCAATGAGCACCAAACTTGCTTGATTGGGAATGTTTGATTTTATTGGTCTCTAGAATATAAAAATTCTCTCAAACTTAATTACGGGAAGGATCTTCTCCAGAGTCTCTTGTTCACCGTTAAATCACTACCAGCTGGCACATTGTGGGTATTCAAAAGTATTTGTTAAGTGAATAGTTGAGTTTGTTTTTTGGTGATTTTGCCACTGTTTTCAAATGAATAACATACTTGAAGATTCTAAAAAGGAGTTTTTAGATAGTTGAGCATCTCTCCCATGTAAATGAATTACTGCATTAAATAATCTTCCCCATATTAATTGTGATTCTTCTTTGAAAACTTCTCTAATTGTGGAAGATATGATTCAGACAGAAGAACAAATGAAACATTTATGCAGTGTAAAAAGCAAGCACCTGGTTACGAAACAGAACACTACCGAGTATTTGGGAAGCTCCCCGGTGTGTTGTCCTCCAATTGCAAGCTCTGGTCCTTTATTCTTAGAGATAGCTTCTTTGCTTGCTTTTAATTTTAAAACCTTTGAATATATATGAATATATCCTTAATAAGTTGTTTAACTTGGAAAAAGTGACTAGCAAGTGTAAATCTAAATGTGTAAAGAAAGTAATGTTGCTAATTTTAGATAAAATCTTACTGGAGGAGATAGGTTGAATAAAGTATCTGGGTCATAGTCTGGTTTCAGCTTTCCTGAGAGTTTACGAGAATTCTTTTCAGGGAAGCCTGTGGATCAGACTTTGAGTGAATAGCACGTTTTCCGTGGTTGGGCATCTGGCAGTACTGCAGTTGTGTATCAGGTACTAGGTGTTCAGCAGAGTTATTGTCAGAGGGTCTGAACTGCTCTGTCCTTCATTCTTAATCACCAAGGCCTACTTTCAGCTCTTAGAAATAAGTCAGGAGACCACTTCTGTAGGTGGTTGTGTCCCCACCTGATTCATGGAGGAGATCATGAGGGATCATGAAACTTCAAGCAGAAACTTCAGCAGTCATTCTGGTTTCTGGTTAAAAAGATGATAGTGGCCAGGATGAGGGAAAAGGCTAATGAAAATACACATGAAAAGGGTTGTGCCAGCCTTATATGGAAGACATTTAAAAAACTCCACTGAGTACATAAAGGAAGATAAAAGTAAATGGAAACATGTTATTTTAGGTTAGGAAGTCTCGACATTGTAAGTTCTCCTTAAATCTTGTCCAGACTTTCTGTTCATGTGTCATCTAATCATTGAGAGCTTCTTAGATCAACCATATACATACAGTTGCTTTATTGTTCAGAATAACACTCATCCCCATCTTACATAACTATAGTTACTTACTTGTTTCTTTCCCTTTGTGGAATGTAAACTTACAAAGATGTGTATATATCCCATACCCAGAGCAAAGGATAGCAGGGCCCTAAATGTCCTACACACTTCTGCCTCCCTTCCCTTCCCAGAAGATTGAAAAAAAATTCCTAATGGCATGCCTGTGAAGAAAGTGGAACATGTTTAGAGATACTGGTAAGAAATGTTTTGCCAACTTGTACTACAAGTGGGAGGAAAATGCCCTCAAAGGGATCCCACTGCAAGGTAAACAGACTTCCCTTTTCTGGAACTCCTGTGGCACAGAGGAGGTCACTTTGAGTTTCCCTTTGTAACAGGCAGGATTCTGGATTAGGCATTTTGCCTACCTATGGACTAATAACTGAGAGACTGCACTCCAGGGCCAATTCATTCTACAAAGTAACTCCAATACCAGTGAGAATAATATAATGGCACCTCATAATCCTCTGGTTGGGAAATTTCACATTTTTCCCATCCTAACCCCTGGGAGAAGCAGGTCTACAACATCTCTAGGCTCAGACCAAATGGCAGCACTTGGACTGTAACCAGGCAGTCCCTGCAAAATAGTAAGCAGGAAGAGATTACATCTAGATTCTCATAGAGACTACTATAGGGTACAGAGTAAGAGCATGAAAGCAATCAAACCTTGTATAAATAATGTGCCTTTTTTTTATTTAATGATGGTATGCTCGTCTTTTTCCCTTTATTGAATGTAGACTTAGGAGAGTATATTTTATTCATATGGCTTCCCCAGCACCTTGAACTTATAGCACATAGGAAGCAGTCAGTGACCTTGAATGGCTGAATGGATGGATGGATGAATGAGTGAATACAACTGTCCTTTCTCTCATAATCCACAGCACTTGTTGTCTGTCTCATAGTCTTTTAGTCACTAATTCTGTTTAGTTTAGCATCTTGTAGTGCTTTCTATTACTTTCTATTGGTTCAGTGTCTAATTGTTGCATTCCTATAAAACAGTCTTCTCTGTGCTTATTGATGGCAAGAGTGGGACAAATGCTTCCTTGTACACCTCACAGTGAGAGGCAGACGGAGACAGGGACTTGCTGAATTGAAAACATTTATTTATTCACAGTGACTTAAATTGCTGAGATCTAGTTTGCCTTCAACAAAAGGAATATTTTTATTGGATAATATGGTATACTTTAAACAAAATATTTTTTTTTTGTTTTTTAAGTATGGAGAATTTATGGAAATATTTTGTTGAGCTTATGGTGACTTCTGCTAAGTGGAATTTCGAAGTTTTGTAATTATGCTTTTATAAATTTCTATATACAGTTTGCATTAAAATCAATTTTTAGTGAAGTATGGATTTCTTACTTTGAAATTTTAGTTTTTAAAAATGTTGTCATGCTACAGTTATGTTTAAACTTAGTTTTAAAGTGAAACATTCTAAATAACCACAATTTTAGTCTACGTTTGATGTATACTGTTGCATATAAATACACAAATGTGTTTATACTTTACCATTTTTCATTCTAGCATATTCTTCAACAGTGTGTATAAGTATTTCTTATTGTTCCTTTACATTGTCACTAGCTTTTAAAAAATCACTGGAAGGGGGAGGGGGAAGGGGTGGGGAGAAAATACAGACAACTGGAATTGAACAACAATAAAATAATTTAAATAAAAAAATAAAAAATCATTGCTGATGTTCTATACATCTCTTTCTCCATATAGATTCTGTATATCATTTCTTGGAGATAAATTTCCAAAAGTGTGCTTAGCATTTTCAAAAGTAAATATTTTAATAGTAATTGAAACACTCTAAATGTACAAAAGGAGAAATGTAAAAGTTTTGTTGGTTTTTTCCTAATTCATTATTTATTTATTTATTTATTTATTTTTGCTTTATTTCAGATCAGTCTATCCATATGGGGATGGGGAGGCCTTGTCATTGTCCTTTCTCTAATAACATTTGGACCTTTTGTAATATTTTATTTGGCATTTTATATCCTCTGCTTTGTGGGTGGGTAAGTATGCTTAGTGATAATTTTCCAATTCATATGTCATGTTCTGTTGTTCCAAATTGAAACAAATGATCAAAAGAAGTAGAAGTATGATTTATTGTGAATGTTATTTTTACAAATTGTTTTTATCAAAGCTTTAAAGTAAAATTAAGACACTTAATAGAAATAGAAATGATGATAATTATTGGTACCAGAAATATATCATCTTCAAAATTAACATAAAAATTTTAATGATACAAACTTTTTTTGTGCTAAAAGAAAACTTTTAAAGATTTTTTAATTGCTTTGGTGTTATTCTTTACAGTTGAAATTACCTTATCTATTATAATAGTAACAAGGTAAGTAACTTAGATGGAGATTATGCATCAGATTCTATGTAGAGATATTGTGTTAGTGATTAGACTTCAAACAATAACGTTAATTATTTTCCTTAGTGAATGCTGTCATTTTGTTTAAGAAAATTCAAACAAATACCTGATTTTGCAGTTTTCTCTTCATGGTTATTTGGTTTACAATGTTTATGCCTTTTACTTTGCTTTGATAAACTTTTACAAGAGACGTTTCAGTCATGCTTTTGTATAGCTTCCTATGCAGAGCATTTGGTGTCAGACATGAATTATCTGTAAGAAAACGTATAGACATGAGAGATGCTTGTTTTAGATACTCTAACCAGCTTAGCTGAAATGAGCATTTTGTTAATATATGTGTGTATGTTTGTATTGTATATACATATATATGATATGTTTATGTACTTATTTGTGGAATGAATACCTATGAGTTCTTTTAAAAATACCTTTTGAGAACCCCCAAACTTGGAGGAGTTATTTTATCTCACAGTTTTAGAGGACTTAATTGGATAGCATATGTAAACTATGGCCTGAAAGACTATGTGAAACACTAAAGGGGTGGCTTCTGAATATATCTACGATCTATTACCTCTCTCAGGGTATGGGTTTGAAAGTCACGTGTTGCCATTATAAAAATAGGGAGTGCATCCACTGATTGTTGAACAAGTGAGAATTAAATAAAGGACTGTTCATAAAACTACTGTTTATTTTAGTTTCAGTGTTTTTATTAGAATTGCTTAGATATAATAACTATTGAAAAAATTAAGAAATAAGTAGCAGGAATCAGATAAATGGAGTTCTGAAAATCTTTATTGATTATAAAGATGATTGAAGACTGTAGATCTGCAGCCATTTGGCTTCTAAATTGTACGCCTTTGTTCTAGATTAAGGCCAGAGCTGCATGATTGCATAGCTGCATGGTTGCACCTCTCCTGCATAGCATCATAGCTGCTTTTACTTATCGGAAAGGAGAGTGTCTCAAGATGTTTATTTGAAAGGAGAGATTTCTTCTACTTTACTAATTGAATATGTCCTTGGCAAAAGTGAAGGAGAAGGATTTCCCAATACTTCAGAAAGGGAGGATATTGCAGCTTTGTAGAGGAAGGTAGGAGTCCTAGGAACCCTCGGAAGATGGAGAGGTGGAGAATTTCTTCTTTTAGACTAAATTGCTTTATACAAAATTTGGGAAAGAGAGAAGGGTGATGAGTGCATTCATTTTAAATTTGTGGGAACCTGTTTTCCCTTTCTTGCATCTGCTAATTTATTAAAAAATAATTTTCAGAAAAATTGTTGGATATTTGTAAAGTATGCAAAATTTTTTCGATTAAGATGGGACATTGGAGAGTGTGAGAGAGCCACTAAAAACTCTTTAGATAACATTAAGTCACATGGTAGGGCCTGAAATTCCAAGTTCATTCTGGCTCATAAATTAATGTTGTGTTCCAGACTGTTGATCCCAGTGACAAGCACTGCCACAATTAGGGACTTCTACTTACATACTAGCAAGCTTCTCAAAAGGAGATTAGTTAATTAAGCACTCTGAGGTTATTCAGTTATGGTCAGTGAGTACCATAATTCCTGAGTCAGGTCTTTCTTATTTTGGCTCTCTTTAAGAGCAGTGATTGCCCCTTTTTAACTTAGTACAGTTGAATGCCTTATGAATTTTAAAAGCAAAATAGGCTTTTAAATATCAATCTCAAGTAAAAACATTTCATATAATTAATTTAAGTCTTAATGTATTTATTGTGTGAGTTCTTAATGATATATTTTCTTTTTTCTTAAAATAGAAGCTTGAGGGAAATTAATACATTTTTCTGTGGAAACCACTTTTTTGTTTTTCACAAATGAAACTGAAGTACTTATGTTAAGTTCTGCAGTTTATTTACAATGTTGAACGTGTATATATTTTTTCTTATAATCAGAATGGTCTTATGAGTTATTTAGTGACATTCTGTTATGTTTGTTTGTTTATGCAATCACTTGTAGCACCTGTTTTTTCTTAAACCTCAATGCTAATGCTGTTAGGTTCTTTGTGAGGTCAGACTGTTCCATAGCCTACTTCCTACTGTCATTGTGTGTTCAAAGGTTTTTGTTTTATCAGTCTGCTTCAAGGTGATGGTTTTAGAAGTACATTGTTTTCTTAATATAAGCATTTTATTGTGCCTGTAAATGTGCTTATAACCAAGTAAAACTGAAATACAAAGCCAACTTAATTCTTAGTAATAACATCAGATATACACAGGTGAAATTTACTGATAATTCCGAAGCCTTTTTTAAGAGACAAAAACAGAATTTATGACATAAGCTGATTTGATTTTGTGTTTTCCACTCTCCTCCCTGTTTTTGTGATGCCTCAGTGAGATCAGTGAAGTGGCAATAGCCATAAAAAGCAGAGAACCCTGAGAATCTTCAATTCTTGATGCTTGAGCATATATAATTTTTCACTGTTCCATTCTTGTTACTATAGTCTTTCAATCTGTAAGATTCCCACACTGTTGTCTATGTCCGTGGGTCATTCTTAGATGTTCTTTAAGTGGTCCCTTCCTCTTCTTTCCACCATTATCCCTCGACCCCTACCCCTCTGGTCACTTTCAGTCCATTCCTTGTTTCTGTGCCCATGGTTCTATTTTGTTCATTAGTTTGTTTTGTTCATTAGATTCCTCTTATAGGTGAGATCATGTGGTATTTGTCTTGCACTGCCTGGCTTAACTTCACTCAGCATCATATTCTCCAAGGCCTTATTGCCCTGAGTGGACCAGCTTCCTCTCATCTGGCAATTTAGATTTTTTTCTTTACAGAATTCCTGTCTACTTAGTAGTGCTTAGATTTAATCGGTAAATTTTACATATAGGAAATTTTGATAGCATCTAGTCAATATTTAAAGGAGTACTAAACCAGTACTTATCTTACCTTGACTCTATAATTTTCTTTTATTAATTCCAGGCTTATTTAAATAAATCGTACTTTGGATCTTTTTTTTTCTATATAGCTTTGTTCTGTATTCAGAGTGGCAAGTTATATTAATATCTCATGTTAATTAGTTAACAATAGAAAGCATGTGATTTAGCTATAGATTTAGATCTCATTTGTTTTTGCTTTTGGTTATTAGCTAGCCTACTTATTTAATGTGAACTTATTTTCCTAAGGTATACTGGGTGAAAACTTTCAAAAGCATTATTATATAAATTCAGAAATGTTTACAGTTGATTTAAACTTCAGAACATAGCAAAATCTGTCAATTTCTAGCCTTGCCAAAGTCACAGACTGATGTCTTAGTGAACAATAAGCCATCTATTGAATCTGAGAAACATATTTGGTCATAGATGTGTTAGATTATAGTAAAATTTTGTTTTTGCATCTATAATTGAATTTTTTGCAGGGGTATTGTGGTTACTCTCCTGTTCGGAAAAACAAACTCAGAGAAGCACCTAGATCAGTGTGAACACTCGTATCTTCCTCCAACATCAACTGGAATTCCCAAGGTAAATAGGCTAAAGGAATGGGAAACCTCAAAGTCCTGTCCTATTCAGTGATGATAATGTGATCATCTGTGTATGGTTTGGCAGATTTGTCTGTAATTCATTAATGCTCATTATAAATTTATGGAGGCTGTCTGATCGTGCTTAGAAAATGCATTTTAAAAAGTTACCTTGTACACTTAGATGTTAAAAGTGCGAATGCACATTTGAGGAAAAGATAGAAAATTGAAGTTTTTCCCTGTATCTTATCTAGAATTTCAAAGTATCAAATATATGATTTGTGTCAATAAATAAACTGCTTTGAATGAAATAAAAAGCATATAAAACAGGAAGAAAAGGGGTACCTTTTTTTTTAACTCACTTGAAACCTAGCTTACAGTTAAGCTATGCATTATTTATAATTTTAATAAGTTAGGGCCAATTTTATATCATCTTGAATGTTGCTGTTTTCTTTTTTCAATATATGTCATAAATAAAAATGGAATTGAGTACAATAGATAGTAATATAGATAGGCCTCAGATTTGCATTGCTGCAGTTCTCATTGAGAGATTGGGATGGTTTTATCTTTTACAATGATGCAAAAGGTCTGGAGTTGATGCTGTGACTCTAATGTTACAATTACTAACTTGTTCTTTTTGTGCTAAGGTTTAGGAGATGCAGAGAAAGTAATATATAGAGTATTATTTTGCATTTGCTAAAATTAAAAACTCCATCCCACTCATTTTCATATTAATAAATATCTTTTTTCTAATACTTACTATAACTTTTAAAATAATTTGAGACTTTGTCTTCCTTTATGACTTCCATTAATATGTATTTTTTGAGTTTTCATACAAATCTAAGGAAATGAACCTTTTTCTTTTTTAGATTCATTTCTTAGCCATTTGAGTAGTAAATATAGAAGATGGGAAATACTTTTTAAATATACTTTATTTATTTTTTAGAGAGACAGGAGGGAAGGAGAAAGAGAGGAGGGGAAACATTGATGTGTGAAAGAAAGAAATATAGATCAGCTTCCTTTTGCACATACCCTAGCCAGGAGCCTGGCCTGTAGCCTAGGCATGTGCCCTGACCAGGAATTGAACCCACCTGTGACCTTTCACTTTGTGAGACAATGCTTGGGCACCTGAGCCACACTGGTCAGGGCAAGATGGAAAATATTTTTAAAATTAAGATCCCAAACAGTCATAAATCATAGTCAAGACTGATAAGTCTTTATAATCTATATTTTAGTAGATAGTATAAAAATTAGTGATTTTGATTTGCTTTTTCTAAAATGATTTCTAAGCAGGAATTATGAAAAAAACTTAGGTTGTATAAACTTGAAGCATATGTTTTATATATATAAACATATGTGTATATATAAATGTGTATATATGTATATGTGTGTATATATATACATATGTATATCAGTATGCTTTGGTTTGTATTTTTTAACTGAAGAGTGTCCTATTACTTTTCATTGTGTTTCCAGACCTCTGATCTTTCTGAAAACTACAGAGAAATAGAGGAATTAATTTTCATTAGTTGCTAAAAATCATTTCTAAATAAAATCAATTTAAAATACATTCCTTTGGTAGCTGTTTGGACTGGGAGGGGATAAAAGGGAGAGGAAAACTAATAATTTAACTCACTTGAAACACTAACATATGGTTTTAAGGAGTGTCCAACACATGCCCCATGGGTTGTGTGTGGCCCAGGATGGTAATGAATGCAGCCCAACAAAAAATCGTAAGTCTACTTAAAACATTAGGAGATTGTTTTGTGATTACATGTTGCAATGTATTTAATGTGTGGCCCAAGACAACTCTTCTTCTTCCAGTGTGGTCCAGATGCCAAAAGGTTGGACCCTGTTTCATTGAACTCTGGCAACAACATAGCTATATATATTTTCAATTTTCTTACACTCTAAATAATATTTACTGATTTTATTAAATTTTGATTTAAAAATTTATTAAATTTTTGACTAAAGAATAGATTTTATTTTGGGTGTGTATATTTGATAACTTGAGAAATAGTGTTTGTTTTATATTGGATTGTCCAAAAGTCTGTTATGTTTTTTCTGTAAAATAAAAGACACATTTTTCATTTTCACCAATAACTTGACTGGTTTGGATATTTTGAGTTTGTTGGCTGTTTCCCACCATTGGTTTCTGGTGGGTAGAGGCCAGGGGTGCTGCTAAACATCCTCCAATTCATGAGACAGCCCCACAGCAAAGAATTATTTGGCTAAAATGTCAGTAGTACCAGGAAACTTCACAAACTGCTTTTGGCACATTTGATCAGTTGCAGCACCTTCTCCATACTCTGTACAAATCTTTTTTTGCATTTCAGTTGTGTTTTTACCTGTCTTGAAGTAATAAAGCAGAGTATGCCAAAAAATGTTATGTATTTTCTTCCATCTTCAATATTAAAATGCCTACACAAAAACTCACTGATTTTGATAAGTTTTTTTAAATGCATATTTATGGCAACTGTCACAATACAGTTGTTAAGGACAACTAAGCACTATTAGAGCCATTGTACAGAAAAAATGTTATGGACTTTTTGGCTACCCCAACACTGGTCTCAAGAAATAAGTTATGTATTTACTTGAAGATAATGAGAGGAAAGTTACAATGAATATTCAGTTAGAAGTAAACTACAGAGATTTTTAACCAAGGAAGTATGCAGTAAGATGTGATGGTTTCTTTTCAGTGTTTAGAAGAAATGAAACAGGAAGCCAGGACTATAAAGATTGATCGAAGATTGACGGGTGCCAATATAATTGATGAACCTCTCCAGCAAGTGAGTTTCAGTATGTGGTATTTGAATTCCATATATTGTGTGCTAGGTGTATTTGTTTTGAAAATACTAAGATATAATTTTGCTGTTTATGTAATATGCTAGAAATGTATTTATAATACTATTCTTGGATTCTATATTAAAAAATGCTGCCTTATTGATGAACTAACTTATAATGATGTGTTTACTTATTATTTAAAACCTTTTGATTGAGTTTGCATTTAGAAAAGAAAGTTTTTACTGATATATTTGATGTTTCTAGTCATTTAATAGTTAAAGTGTTAATCTTTAAAAAATGAACACACACCGTGCTTTGTTAAATCAGATATTATTCCCTACTAGTTTTATTACTTCAATTCAACAACATTAAAATGTTACAATTAAAAACTTTATTCCCCCAAAATATTTTTCACTGATTTTTTTAAATTATAAGATTATTATAAATAATAATCTTAACATTTTTAAAATCTTTAAAATTTTAACATTTATTTTATAGACAACCCCATATTTAGTTTAACAAAAACATTATACATTAAGTTCTATTATTTGCTTTTTATTGGCTAGCAATACTGTTGGCAGTATCAAAGGTATTAGAATTGAGTGAATGATATAATTTTTGTAATTTCACTGAAAGGAATCTGATGATGTAATCTTGGAAAAATTATTTCCTTTTTTAGAATTAAGGTCCATTGACATTACTTTGCATCTCATTCCATCAAACCAATTAAAACTGTTCATAATATTATAGCATTGAAAGTTTACTTTTTCTGTCTTATGAATTTGGGGTGGGATTGGCCATAGATAACTAATTTTTAAAACATTTGGGCAGTGTATGAGTTAGGGTACCAAAATAGTTAAAAATTTTTTGAAATGGTTTTTTGTATATTGATGCTTTTTAAATGAAAGTATTTACCACCACAGTTTAGTGTGTAAGAGAGTAAATATCAATTGGCAAGTAATCCTTTTAGGTTTTAGTTTGCCATTGTCACTTTTAAAATCCTAAACAGTTGTATTTCCCCCCACTATTCTTGTTTTAGGTTATCCAGTTTTCCCTGAGGGATTATGTACAGTATTGGTATTACACACTGAGCGATGATGAGTCTTTTCTTCTTGAGATTAGGCAGACTCTTCAAAATGCACTCATCCAGTTTGCTACTAGGTAAGGTTACTGGATTGTATTTAGGCTTAAAAATATATTATTAGGTTACTGGATTAAATTTAAGCTTAAAAATATATTGTTTGGACCAAGTAGGGAAAATTAATTATATTTGACCCTTGAATAACCTGGTAGGTTAGGGGGCCAACCGCTACACAGTTGAAAATTTGCATGTAACTTGATTCCCCAAACTGTAAGCCTTACCAATAAAAAGCAGTCGATTAACACATACTTTGTCTGCTAAGTGTATTATGTGCTATATTTTTACAATAAAACCAGATGAAAGAAATGTTATTAAGAAAATCATAAGGTAGAGAAAATACAATCACAGTACTGTACAAATTTATTTTAAAAAATCTCCATGAATGTGTTTGTGCAGTTCAAACCTATGTCGTTGAAGTGTGCACTGTATTAAAAGGTAAGTTAGACAGTAGATAATAGATAACTTGTTAGGGTTATGGAACTATAGCCCTAAAAACCTTGAAGTTTCTCCTTTAAATTTAGCCTTTGTATTTACAGAATGTTTATTTTGATTAAGCTCTTGTTCTCTCAGTCTCTATGTCCATTTTTTCCTCTGGATCCAATCCTGTGACTTTTCAGTCTTTCACCCCATTTGTTGATAATTTATTTCCCCTGTTACCCATACTCTGTTTTATTTGAGTGTTAAAGAAATTAGTTTCTCTTACTTTTTGGCACTTACCTAATAGAAGTCCTCTTAGTGGAAAAAACCAAAGGATCGTAAGTGAGCGGAGACTATTCAGTTTATTATTTATTCATAGAAGAGAATATGAATATATTTTGTTTGCCCATCATTGCCTTTTTTTATTACTGTATTCTGATGGTTCGCTTTAAGAAACAACCACTCGTACATATAACAAAATATTTTGGTCTAATCTGTGTACTTAAAATACTTGATTTTTTGAGGGGGCTATTTCATATCCAGGTATTATTTATTTTTGAAAGAAAAAAATATTTTTAATCCTCACCTAAGGATATGAAGATATGTTTACTGATTTTAGAGATAGAGGAAGGTCGGGGGAGAGAAGGAGGGGCAGGAGGAGAGGGAGAGACGGAGAGGAGAGAAGAAGAGAGGGGAGAGTAGGAAACATTGGTATGAGAAACATTGATGGGTTGCCTCCCATGGGCACCCTGACTGGGGATGGAACCCACAGCCTACACCTGTGTGCTGACCAGGGATCAGACTGGCAGCCTTCTGGTGTACAGGATGATGCTCCAAGCAACTGAGCCACCCAGCCAGGGGTGCAGTCTTAATCAAGGATTTTTTCTTCCCAGTATACATAAAGATTTTCCTACTAACCTGTGCCCTGAAAGCCCTAATTTGTAAAGCAGTTAAGGCCTTGGCCATCAGTACACTCAAATCTGAATGTGTTATTTTCTACCTAACCCCTCTTCTTTCTCTTAGGTTCTTGAAATACATTCCTATACTTTTGAGAATCTTGGAGTAGATCTTTTCCCTAGGGCTCTTACTGTATGTGTGTGTGTGTAATCTCTTTTATGTGTTGTTAACTGCCTTCCTTTGAGTGGGGTCTGACTTCTAAGGACCCTATGAATGAGTGATGTCCACAATGTCATGTCCATAGCAGGCCTGCTCAGCTTCTGTAGACTCAGGCCTGTGGCTTCTTTTATGCAATCAATCCATCTTATATTTTGTCTTCCATTTTTTCCTACTGCCTTCTATTTTTCCCAGCATTATTGTCTTTTCCAAAGAGCTCTGCCTTCTCATGATGTGCCCAAAGTAGGGCAGTTTCAGTTCTCGTCATTTTTCGCCTCTAGACAAGTTTCAGGCTTAATTTGCTTTACAGCCCTGTGCCCATAGATATTTCCAGCTCATCTGCTCTGTTAAGTCTTTTCCTCTGTAACTCAGTTGATGCTCAGCTTTAGAGTAGGAGGTTAATTCTTCATCCTCAAGTCACTGGGGAGGCCTGCAGTAAGATGTATGGTTTGAACAGTAACCTTACTTGTTGAGATAGATTTGAGCTGCTTCTTCTTTATGATTAACAGCAAACATTTGCAAAGTGACCAGCCATAATTATGAGTGTAGACTCACTGTGGAACACAGGAAGTATAATAAAGGATAATCAAGCAAAGTCAGAAATTAGATTTTATTCTCCTTTATTTCATATATGTAACATTATTGAATATTAGGTATTCTTTCAGATAACTTCTGAATCAGTCATTTACTGCTTTCTATAGTAACACCATCCTAATGATTTTTCTTTGAAGGGGTGGGAATAAGAAAAGTTAATTATTCTTGTGTCTGACTGCCTAAGAGTATATTAAAATACAACACATTTTAGACCTGGAAAGAACTTTGAACTAGTACATAATTGGAAGACCTGAGTTTGCATCCTGTCCTACTACTTTGCTGTGGAACTGTGAACAAGTATTTTAAACTCTTTGAACCTTGGTTTTTCTCATATGTAAAATAAACATAACATTACCTACCTTGTTGTGTGTTCCTCAAAGGATTTATTGTCGGGATCAAACTCATCTGTCCAGCTAGTGTTTTGTTCCTACTTTGTATCAACCAGATGCTATGGGTACAGTAGTGAGTAAAACAAAAATCCTGCCCCGTGAAATGTAATGGAAATAATTCTTGTGAAATGTTTTCTGAGTGGTTATGCCATCCAGCATCCCAGTTTCACAAATCAGGAAGCTAAGGTCCAGAAAGATTAAGTGGTTAGTCCATTGAGTTGGGGGCAGAATTAGAATCAGATTGCTCTTAACAGTCCAGTGTTCTTGCTCCCCCCACCACCCCGTTCCCTGTCTGATATATTATGATGTAGACTAGTTCTTGCTTTCCCCCCATTCCCTGTCTGATATATTATGGTCTAGAGTATTCATCTTAGTCTCCTCACCTTCCTTTCCTCTGTGTAATGCTTTTCCTGTTTTCAATCTGCAATCCCCTTTTCTTTAAATTTCATATTTTTCCCTTTTCTGTCAGTCTGTTATCAAGCTAAATATTTGGGTGATTACAGTCTAAGAGCCAGGTTTCTTCTATCCTAGACTGACCTGAATTTATATCTTTTCTTTGCCATCAGCCTTAAGCTTTGAGTAAATTAATCAGTTCCTCTCAAGTCTTGGTTTCATCTTCTAAAAAGCTGATGATAACTATTTTAGAGGCTGCTTTCAGGCTAAAAACCGCATGTAGTAAAACCCCTGGCATACAGTACGACTTAACAGTTGTTTGTTGGTGCTGTCTCTGTGAATGACTTTTGTTTGCCCTCAGTGGCTTTTTTTATTATTGCTAAAATGTACTTCTTAATAGAGACACTGTGACTATTTTCAATGCCAATATCAAGAAAATTAGGCCTATTTGTAGTCATTCAGATATTTCTTAATCCTTGTTCTGTGCTCTCTGCTATGTACTGTGAAGCATATGACGAGCATTCGTTGTTACTCCTGTCCTTCAAGTTACAACTTTGTATAGGGTTCTTAACTGGGGGCCCACAGAGCACTGAGAATGTATGCAAAACTCTGTTGTGTGTTTTATGTTTCCTATGGAGTGGTTTCTCTAGATTTCATCTTTAAAAAGGGTTATGAACCTAGAAAAAATTTAGAACCACTGAATTCTAGTGTTTATATTTATTTGTCACCTTGGAGGAATCATTACAGAATGTCAGCATAAAATAAAATGCTAGTTTTGAGACAACAGAAAGAAGAGGTCATATTTAGAGTCTAAAGTCTTGGTTTTGAATTCAGCTCTATTATTTATAAAGCTCTATAGCCTTGAATAAGCAGAACGCATGGATTCTTTGAATCTGGTGGTCGCTCGTATGTACTTATCAGGTTGTTGTTAGAATTAAATGACATGACATTTGAGAGAGTACTTTGTAATAATAACACCTCTTGCTAACATTAATACAACATCTGTTACTTTAGTAGCAATTTGTGGAAGAAAACCTTCACAGAGCACTCATTTTTTAATAAATTTTTAATTTAATTTATTTTAGTTGTTGTTCAAGTACCGTTTTTTGCCCTTTACCCCATCCCAGCCCACCCCCCAGCTCTTCCCACCTCCCTCCTGTCTCCACCCACTCCTTGTTATTGTCCATGTGTCCTTTATACTAGTTCCTTCAAACCCTTACCCCCTTCCCCTGAAGCACCAACCCAAAAGAACCTATGCACCCGAATGTTCAAAGCAGCACAATTTACAATAGACAAGTCCTGGAAGCAACTTAGGTGTGCATCAATAAATGAATGGATCAAAAAACTATGGTACATTTACACAATGGAATTCTATGCAGCAGAAAGAAAGGAGCTCCTTCCTACCCTTTGTGACAGCATGGATGGAACTGGAGAGCATTATGCTAAGCGAAATAAGCCAGGCAGTGAAAAACAAATACCCTATGATCTCACCTTTAACAGGAATCTAATCAACAAAGCAAACAAGCAAAATATAACCAATGACACTGAAATTGAGAACAGGCTGACAGGGAATTTCACAGAGCACTCTTGAGTTCTCTGGAACCTGGGTTGAAATAGGCTGGAGCCTTACTTAGCTGATGAATACTTAATAACCTATCTATTTTTATTCCCCCTTCAAATAAGATATTATGACATAGGACAGAAAGCCCGAGACATCTATATTATAATTCTATCTATAACATTAAGTTACAGTGTATTTAAAAGAAAATTTTGTAACATCTATTAGTAAAATAGTAATACTAATTCTTATAGCAAACTTATGGTTGTATGGGACAAATGAGATGATATGTATGAGGCATTTCTTAAAGTACTTGTTAGCCGATAAATAACATTTTGAGCATGTTACTTGACTTTCTGTATTTCAATCTCTGCATTAGTAAAATAAAGTAATTATCCCATAGGGTGGCTATAATGATTATATGGGGGGAAAATACATATAAGACACCACAGGATCTGGTACATAACTGTTTAATACAGGTTAACTTGGTTATTATTTATGTTATTTATTATGTTCCTAGGATATATACGTGGACTCTTTGACGTTATTTTAGTTT